TCTGTCTAATGAACATAGATGTAAAAATTCTCAACAAATACTGGCAAACAGAATGCAGCAAGTCATCAAAAAGATTATACACCATGATCAAGTGGGATTTATCCCAGGAATGCATGTATGTTTCAACATATGTAAACAAGTACACGTATTACACCATATCAACAAAGCTAAGGATAAGAAAAACATGTTCATTTCAATGGATGAAGAAAAAGTTTTCAACAAAATCCAACACTCATTCATTATAAAAACCCTACAGAAAATTGGAACAGATGGTCTTTACCTCAATTTGATAAACACCATCTATGAAAAACCAACAGGCAGCATCATATTAAATGGTCAAAACCTGAAAGCTCTTACTCTAAAATCAGGAACAGGACAAGGCTGTCACTATAACCACTGCTATTCAATACAGCGCTGAAAACATTGGCCACAGCAATTAGACAAAAGGAAGAAATGAAAGGAATAAAGACTGGAAACGCAGAGGTTAAACTATAATTATTTGCAGATGATATGATACTCTACATAGAAGACCAAAAAACTCCATTGAAAGACTTCTAGATATAATAACCAAATTCAGTAATGTAGCTGTATACAAAGTCACCTCTCAAAAATCAACAGCATACCTGTACACAAACAAGAAACTCACTGAGAGAAATAAGAGAAACCATAGCCTTCACAATAGCATCCAAAAAATGAAATACTTAGGAATAAGTCTAACAAAGGAAGTAAAAGATCTATTCAGTGAAAATCACAATACTCTGATAAAAGAAATCGAAGAGAATTGCAAACAAAATTGAAAAGACATTCCTTGTTCATCGATGGGAAGAAAAAACGTTGTGAAAAGGGCCATTCTCCGAAAACGGCTATACAGATTTAACATAATTCCAATCAAAACAGCATTAGAATAGCTCACTGATCTAAAGAAATTGTTCCTAAAATTCATCTGGACCCAGAAAAGACCTAGAATAGCACAGGCAATTTTGGGCAACCAAGGTAAGGCAGAAGGCATCACAATCCTCAACTTGAAGATATAGTACAAAGCTACTGTGATAAAATCAACATGGTACTAGAATAAAAACAGACCTGAAGATCAATGGAATAGATTAGAAGATACAGCCACACAATACATACTCAGCTAACTTATCTTTGACAAAGGGGCCAAAAATGTTCACTGAAAGAAAACTAGCCTCTTTACAAAGTGGTGCTGGAAAAGCTGGCTTTCCATAGGCTTTTTTAAAAACTAAAGCTAGACCCGTGCCTATCACCATGCACTAAACTAAAGTCAAAATGAATCAAAGATCTGAATATCAAAACAGAAACACTAAATCTGCTAAAAGACATAATAGGTAGAAATCCTGAAGACATGGGTGTAGGCAGAGAGTTCATAAACAAAAAATCAAACTGTATGGGAAATACTTCCCAGAATCAACAACTGGGGATCTCATCTTATTAAAAAGTTTTTGCATATCAAAAGAAATCTCTAACAGAATGAAAAAAAAACCATGAATGGGTAAAAAAATCTTAGTGAACTGTCCCTCAGACAAAGGACTTCTATCTAGAATATATAAATAATTTTCAAAAAATCAGGTCCCCAAAATTCAAAGACTCAATCCAAAAATGGGCATCTGAGACAAATACAGTTCTTAGATGAAGAAATACAAATGGCAAATAAACACATGAAAAAAATATTCAGTGTCACTGGTCACTAGAGAAATGCAAATTAAAACCACACTGAGATTCCATCTCACTCCAGAAAGAATGTTCACAACCAAAACAACACCAATAACAAATACTGGAGAGGCTGTGCAGCAAAAGGAACACTTCTGCACTTTTGGTGGGAGGGTGGAATGTTGCAACCATTGTGGAAATTATTGTGGAAGTTCCTCAAAAAACTGGGATTAGAGATCTCATTTGACCCAGCTATTCCACTTCTGGGCATATTCCCAGAAGAACTGAAAACATCAGCACAGTGATATATGGGCACCCATGTTTGTAGCAATACAATTTGTATTAGCCAAATTCTGGAAACACCGCAAATGCTTATCAACTAAGGAATGGATAAAAAAGACACGGTATTTTTATGCAATGAAACACTACTCAGCTATAAAGAAAGACCACATTGAAGCTTTTATAGGTAAATGGAAGCCACTTGATACCACACTCATAAGTGAAATAAATGAAACTCACATGTGTAAATATCACATTGTCTCCCTAGCGTATGAAACTGAAAGCCTAAATAGGATCTGGAATTTTCAATAAATATTGTGAAAAGGTAAGAAGCTGCTCAAAGAGGCAAAAATAACTCAGACAGAGAAAAGGAGAAAAGAAAAGAAGTAAGTTTGTATATGTACACTTAATATTACTACAATGACTGTACTACTAATTGTTAGTTCTTGGAATAAAACAGTTCACATCCATAGGATTAGATCAATTTTGCGTGACTATACCTGGTAATTTGAGTAAGACTTTTGAAGATAACTATGCAAAACAACAGAATTTGTTATGTCCCTACCACCTTGTTTTGAAAGCCTACATTGGTAGTGTTTTGGGCTCTTATAGTAATTTATTTGTTGTTTTGTTTTTCCGTCCAATACAGAAAGGATAGATGTACATGTATAGGCTCATATTTGCCTAGAACTTCACCTAAGGTGTTTATAAGAATTGATTTCAGTATGTGTGATAGTAATAACAATTACACTAAAGAAAACAAGACATCATGTAGCCATTGATGATTTCCTGTCATTTTGTTTTGAAGTCCAATAATGCTTTTATTTTTAGTTTTGATTGGTATTATTCTGTTTTCAATTATTTGATTTCAATATGTATGAAGGTATGGACAGCTATTTTGAAGAAGAGACATTATGGTAGCCATTATTGATTTCCTAGTGTCTGGTCTTAAAAGACCTTAAGGCTCTTATTCTTTTGTTTCAATTGCTTTTGTACTACTTGAATTTGTATTAGCCGCTGTTCTATCATCCAGAAAAACGTGTTTCACTGGGGTGTTTGGCCTGAGCCCTCTTTAACACTCACGGAATGGAATGTCAATCCTCCTGTACCTCAGTTTCCTTTCTGGCTTGATTCTCCTCTGGCAAGGGAGAATTTTTAGCTTTTGATACATTTGCTTTGTGTTTTTCTGGACAGAGAATGCCAACTCTTAGGCACATTATTCCCTTAATTCACTGCCCATATAATGAGAGAAAAAACTCTTCCATTGTTATGTTAAAGACTGTTAACTACATCTTTCTCCTGCCATTTTTTTCTTTTCTCTAGACTAAAGACCAAAGAAACCCATCTTGAAAAGATTTTTTAGTCCTAATTTGTCTGACTTTTTGCCCTTAAGGTAGGGCTGGAAACTACAGAATATCTTCACTCTATTAATCTCCCCTCACTCTTCAGAAATACTAATAGGGCAGGGTGGACTAATAGGTTTTTTAAGGGTAGGGATATCCCTGTAAAGCTAATTACATTAGCAGATCTGAAAACAGTCTTCAACAGATCCACAAAGTCCGACAGCAACTTTGTTAGAAAGGACATTAAGGAAACCTTGAACTGCCTCTCTCTCTATCCCAACCTGTCTCTGTCTCTGTCTCTGTCTCTGTCTCTCTCTCTCCATGATTTCTCTCTAGAGCTTTATGCTAGTCAACAAATAGTAAATGAGGGTGGAAGGTCCGCTGCAGTTAGTATGAGCCAAAGGTCCATGATGAACGGTACGTATAGGTGCTGGTAAGAGTGGTATTCTAGCCCCATGTGACTTTCTTTAGAAAACATTAGTGGCAGGCCAGGGAATAGCTCAGCAGGCATAAGCACTTGCCTGGCAAGCGTGAGGTCATGAGTTCAGTACCCAGTACTATAAATAAATACATAAATACATACATAAAGATAACAACAGTGGCTGCTGCTACCATTGGAAGGAATGGAGCTGGGGAATTACCCAAGCTACTGGCTGAAACAGGCAGATAAAAGGGATGCCTCTCTGCTTGTTTATCAGAATACAAAACATGAACTTGGCACTTTCCTGCATGTTTATGGAATACACATTAACTCACCAGAGATCATTTCACCCTCAAGAGTTTATAAAGAAATCACCTAATTTTTTTCTCCACAGAACATTGGCCTGGCTATGACCTGAAAAATCAGAAATGAATGTATCAGAGAAATGTCAATTATGAAACTGTCTGCCAACTCAATCAGTTTTGCAAGAGAAGGTAGAAATATTCAGACAACCTTATGTCCAGGTATTTTCTGCTTTAAGAGACAATCCAGACTGCTGTGGCAAGGCAGGCTAATGCCCAAGTAACTTGTGGGCTTAGAAGGACCTGCTGAGACTCAGGCAGCTCAACCTATCCCTACTAGTCTACCCACAGAACACAAATTGCTGCACAGGCCAAAAGAAGCCTCCACAAGGGGGACTATATACTTTTCAGGAGGTGAGTAGGGGAGATATGTTCTGGATCAATGTGTCCTTTGCATTGACATACTTAAAGACATATAAAACAGGATTTAGGAAGGTTTTCTGATGACCTTGATTAAGCACATAGAGATACTGTGAAGTACAGCTCAATCATTTGATCTAGCATGGAAAGATAAGCTTCATTAAAGCACATATTAACCCCTAGTGAAAAGTAAGGAAACCCACATATAACAGAGGTCTGTGGAGATGAATTACATATGATTAATTATAGAATGCCTGAGGAAGTACAGACAGAGGAAAGACCATTTCCAACAGGAAATCAGGCCTTCCCAAGAGAGGACCCTGACGGGGGCCCTGATGGTGAGACAGGAGATTAGGCGCATGCAAAGCTGGGTAGGGTAGTAGCAGGTGACCTGTTAATTACGAAACACTGGACAAGTGCAAAGAACAATTTCAAAGCCCTGCACATGGACTTCTAGCAAGAATTAGGGGACATTTTAAACAGGATAGGGTAGAACTGACATTAGCCTGAGGTATAGGATGCCAGCACTCCTTCTTACGACCCATGTATAGAAGTTATTGCAGGTTCGTGCTCGCTTCAGCACCACATATACTAAAATAGGAACGATACAGAGAAGATTAGCATGGCTCCAGCGCAAGGATAACATGTAAATCCATGAAGAGTTCCATATTTAAAAACCTGTCAGAGAGAAAAGACAGATCAGGGAATCGGCGAACAGAGCTGAGAGCAGGACTGCCAGGGAGACCTGCATTGACCTACGGTGAGTGAGAGGAACGGGGACCCTTCCACAGACTAGGAATCTCTAAAGAGGACATTCTGGGAATGGGCAGACTAGCCAAAGAGGACGCTGCAGTGACCTTAGTCTCATATTCCTCTCTCAAGCGGGATTGGTACAGAGCACTTGGCCTGGGTGAAGCCGCAGACTAAGACCCATTAGGCTAGTCCAAAACAGGTCCCGGTGCCCGGCGGTGCACCTTAGCACTGGAGCCTTCACTAGGTTGACCTGAAGGGGTGGGCCCAACAGAGGATGCCCAGGTCTGTATCTCCTTATTACACTGCAGTGGGAGAGAACACCTAGCCGGCGGATTCAAAGAAACTGTAATCAATAAAGAAAAAAACTAGACATCCTATATACCCTTATATGGAAGAAACAAAAAGTATGGGAAGAGGGAACATCAACAAAGGGTCCTTGGTCCCCAATCCTGAGAACACTGATCCAGGAAAGGTAAATGCAAAGGAGAATGAAGACAGAAAACATGCAATATCAGACATGGCACCAACAGACATAAAGCGATATCTCCGGAGCCTCATAGATGAGTTCAAAAGTGGCATTTAATGAAATAAAGCAAGATATAAGTAGAATAATTAGAGAAATGCTAAGGATCACCCAAGAAAAAACAGATGGTGGAATGGAAGAACAGAAAAAAGGGGGAGAATTGCTTGATGGAGAAAATAGAGAAAACATAGAATACGTAAAGCAGGTTCAAAGAGATTATCAGGAAACTAAAAACGCTATTGAAAGCTGGCATGACAGCTTGAAAGAAGCTAAGGATAGATTATCTGAACTAGAGGGCAGATTTGTACTGTGGGAGCATGAAATGAAAAACATTTTAAAAATAACAAGGAAACAAACAGCAATAATACAAAGGCTAGAAGATGAAAAGAGGATTTATAACTTAAGAATTAAGAACATAAAAGAAGAAGTAGGGACACAAAAAAATGATCTACAAAAGCTATTCACAGAAAGAATCCAGGAGAATTTCCCTAATTTAGCAAAAGGTAAAGATTCTCAGATGTATGAGGCATACAGGACCCCAGTCACCTACAACCCAAACAGAACTACACTCAGGCATATAATAATCAAAATTCCAGAAATCCAATATAAGAACAGAATATTAAAAGCCATCAAAGACGAGAAACAGATCACTTACAAGGGAACACCCATGAGAATTACAGCAGACTTCCTGGCACAAACCATCAAATCACAAAGAGCATGAGGAGAAATAATTCAAGCTTTGAAAGATAATAACCTCCAGCCAAGATTGATATATCCTGCACAACTGTCCCTAGAAATTGATGGAAAAACAAGATGATCCCAGGATAAAGAGGAACTAGGGGAATTTGCAACCACCACTTCAACTCTACAGAAAATACTGCAGGATATTCGAAAAAAGAAAAATACCAAGATTCCAGAAACAGTGGCAGAGAGGCCAAAATGAATGGAGCAGAAAGCGAAATGAATAAGACAAACTGACAACTAATGACAGAAAAAGAGCTCAACAGAAATGAGGCAGAGAAGGCTGGATGGTAGGAACAACTATTTTGGAGAAAACAAGACATCGTAATAGCTGATTTAATATCATTTTGTTTTGAAGTCCCATCAAGCTTTTGTTCTTCTGTCTCCAAAGGTCTTAACATGTTGTATCTTATTGGATTTTATTATATGTGATAATATAAACAAAAACTTTTATAGACAAGACAAGATTATACAGAAACCATTGTTCATTATCTGTTAGTTGATTCTAAATACCCTGTAATACTGTCATTCTCTTGAATGGTTTTACATTGTCTTGATATGTTTGATGCTACAGTATACGAAGTTATACCCAAAGATTTCAAGGAAAGAGACAATATGGTAACTACTTTTATGTCAAGATATCTTGTGGTGAAACACTATTTTGCTTTATATTTTGACCTGCGCTGTTTTGCTGTTATGAACTCTTTTATCTCAGTCTCCTTCTTTTATTATTTACTTTTTTATCTTTTTAATTAAGGGAAAAATAAATAAAAAATAGCAGGATATATTATAGTAACCCACTTTGATTTCCTATTATCTTGATTTGAAACCCTGTATTGCTCTCACCATCTTGTTTTGACTTATTTTCCTCTATTCTGTTTTGCTTGATAGTACCAAGTTCAAAAGTATAGGCAACAACTGTGAAGACAGTAAGATTCATTATGACACCCATTCTGGTTGACTATTATCTTCTTTTGAAGTCCTGTAATGTCTCTAGTGTTTTGGTTTTATTGCTTTTGTTTTTTACTGTCTTGTTCAATTTTATTATCACCGCTGATATAGGCAATTCTTTCTAAGATAGCAAGAGGCAGTATGGTAACCATTGTTGATCACCTTGTATTTTGTTTTACATTATGTATTATGTCCATCCTTTGATTTGACTGACTCTCTTCTACTATGTCACATTTGGTTTTACTCTCTTCAAAAAAAAGTAATAAGAACTGTGGGAGTAATAAAACCCAAAATGTGTAATTGTCATTGTACAAAATAGAGGAAAAGAAAGTGCTCTAAAGGATATAACTGCATATATATTTAAGTATATAAGATAGATAACCGTATTACTGAGTTTCATTGGATTACTGAACAGAACTGTTTGCTGTCTCACTGTTTGAAAGTCCACTTTATATGCTTTAATCTTGTAACTTGAACAACAATTTCTAAGATGAAAATATATAATCTATTAACTAGTGATTTCCTACGGTTTACTTTTTCTGAAATTCAGAATAACTTGTACCCTTTTTCTGTTTTTTTTTTTCTTTTTCTCCTTAAATAAAATTTTAAAAAAAGACAGATCACCTATAAAGGAAAACCTATCAGAATCACAGCAGACTTCTTAGCACAACAATAAAGTCAAGAAGAGCACAGAGTGAAGTATTTCAGATCCTAAAGGAAAACGATTTCCAACCTAGACTGATGTACGCTGCAAAACTGTCCTTCAAAATGGATGGGAAAAGAAAATATTTCCATGACAAAGATCAGCTGAAGAACTTCATGATCATCATGCCAACCGTGAAAAGAATACTGAAAGACAGTTTAGATAAACTCAGGAAAAAAACACTAAGCAAAGCCGAGAATTAAACACAGCGGGAAGATAAAAATGCAACAGCAGAAAGATAACATTGTCAACAATAAACCAATATATAACAGTTAGAACCATTAATGTAAATCATCTCAATGCACCAATTAAAAGAAACAAACTGGGAGAATGGATCAAGAAACAACATCCAACCATATGCCATCTACAAGAAACCCATCTAACCCAAAAGGATACTCGCAGACTCTAAGTCAAAGGATGGAAAACAATACTTCAAGCAACATTACTTCATGCAACAAGAATCCAAAAGAAAGCAGGAGTAGGTATTCTGTTTGCAGACAATTGAACTTCAAACCAAGAATGATCAGAAGAGATAAAGAGAGTCATTACATACCATTTAGGGGAAAACTTCAAGAGGAAGAGATAACAATCTCAAATATATATATACACTTAATTCCAGAGCACCCAGTTATATAAAGCAAGTATTAATAGGAATGTAAAATCAAACTGGCAATAATAAAATTTTAACAGGAGACCTTAACACACCACTGACATCAAGGGTCAGGTCAAGCAGGCAGAAAATCAGCAAAGAAATAACAGAACTGAATCACACCTGGGAACAAATGGAGTTGATAGACAAACACCAAGTGTTCCATCCAACAACATCAGAATATACATTCTTCTCAGCATTACATGAGACATTCACTAAAATAGACCATATATTAGCCCATAGAACATACATAAATAAATGCAAAAGAGTTGAAATTATTTCATGCATCTTATTGGATCATAGCATCATGAAACTAGAAATTAATGATAAAAGATGCTGAAAAATTCCCACAAAGACATGGAAACTGAATAACACATTCTTGAGTAATCAGTGGGTCACAGAAGAAATTAAACAATACCTACAAGCAAAAAAAATACAAATACTACTTACCACAATCTGTGGGATGCAATGAAACTGTCCCAGAGGAAAATTTTTTGCACTAAGTTCCCAATCAGGAAAACAGAATGAAGACAAATAAGTACCCTGATGCTATACCTCAAATGTACAGAAAAAGAAGAGCAAGTCAATCCCAAAGCCAAAAGAAGGGAGGAAATTATAAAAATTAGAGCTGAAATTAATGCATTAGAGACTAAGAAAACAATCCAAAGAATCAATGGATCAACGAGTTGGTTATTGGGAAGAATTGATAAAATTGATAAGCTCCTAGTCAAGCTAATTTAAAAAAGGAAAAGAAAAGGCTCAAATTCATGCAATAAGGAATGAAAATGCGAAATCACTAAGGACTCTGTAGAAATACAGAAGACCATCAACACGTATTTCGGGAAACCTCTACTGTCATAGGTTTGATAAGACAGAGGAAACTGACAGAGTTCTAGAAATATATGAAGTACCAAAGCTACGTCACGAAGATGTAAAACTGCTGAATGACTCAATGTCCATTAAGGAAATTGAAAATGTAATTAAGTCCTTACCTACAAAGAAGAGCCCAGGTCCAGACAGATTCACTGTGTAATTCTACAAGAAATACAAAGAAGATTTCATGCCGACACTACTCAAACTCTTCAATGAAATTGAAGGGAAGCAATCTTTCCTAAGTCATTCCTGGAAGCAAATTAGTATGAAAAACTAAGCCTGAACTAAAAAAGAGAACTGCAGACCAATCTCCCTAATGAACACAAATGCAAAAATCCTCAATAAAATACTGGCAAATAGAATGCAGCAAATCATGAAGAAGATTGCATAACATGACCAAGTGGGATTCATCCCAGGCATTCAGGGAAGGCTCAACATACATAAATGAATAAATGTAATCTACCATATTAATAAAGCCAAA